GGGGGGGGGGGGGCGGCGGATAATGAAGGTGGAGCTGTATACTTCCTGGTTTTATAACACACTACAGAGCTGAAGTGATCAAAACACTGTGGTATAGACAGATAGCTCAACAGAACAGAAATACAAAGCCTACAACTCCACTCAGAAGTATAAGGTCACATGACCTTCAACAAAGGCCCAAGACTACACAGTGGGGAGAGAAAAATCTCTTCAACTAACAGTGCCAGACAAATGGCAATCTCATGTACACAGGCAGGAGCAAAGAAGGAAAAAGAGACCCCTCTTGTCCTATACTACCCACAGAGATCAACTCAAAATTTATTAAATGTAAGGTCTGAAACTGTAAAATTCCTGGAGGAAAATGGAAGAAAAGCCTTTTAAGGTTGGTTTTGGCAACGATTTCATGGATAAGACACCAAAAGTCCATGCAACATGAGCAAAACTAGAAAAGCAGGCTGTCCAAGCTCCTGTGCAGCAACAAACCACCAACCCTTCAAAGCAGCCTGTGAAATCAGAGGGAAGGAGCTAGCATCTGGAAGAATGGTGAATTCAACATGTAGAGTTTTCAGTCATGCAAGATGAAAAAACTTGAGAGAGACACTGATACACACTTAAAAATTGAGACAGCTTAGTGAGTCAAGTGTTTGCTATGCAAGTTAGAGGATCTGAGTTGAGATCCCCAGCACCCACATAAAAGCCAGGTGTGGTGATGTACACCAGTCATCTTAGTGAGGGGGTGGGGGTGGGGGGCAAAGACAGGTGTGTGCTTGGGGCTTTGGCCAGCCAGGCTAGAAGCAATAGCAAGCTTGAGGTTTGGTGAAACCTGTCTCAAAAATAAGACAGAAAAACAAATAAAGGCACCCCAAGACCAATCTCTGCCCTCCACAAGTGTCTACATGGCTGATAACACCCACTCCACTCATCTCTCTCTCTCTCTCTCTCACACACACACACACACACACACACACACACACACACACACACACACACACACCACATCACATGTTGTTTTTAGTCCAGACTAAAATAAATTGTTTTTCAAGAGATTAATATCAGGAATAAAAATGTTTGATTAAATAAATCAAAACAGTAAAATTAGGAGTTTTACACACAAATATATACAACTTGATTTAGTACATGCTGTGTACCTACACAGCAGGAAATCTCTCATATATCAGTACATATCTCTGATTTCTTGTCTTTCAGTTGTAGATACTTAACTGGGGTAATCTTTTTAATTTGCTTATGAACTCTCTCTTGGCTCTCTTTTTGTCTTCTGATCTGTGCTGTCATTGTCCTACTTCAAACTATTACTTGAATCTCTTTGAATAGGCTTCTGCAAACCCATTTTAAACCATTTCCATTAGAATTTTTTCTAAAATGCAAATCTGTATATGACACTCTCCTGATTTACAACTGTTTAGAGATTTCTTCTTGGTATACAGCAAACGTTTGTAAAACTGATCCTGGTTCCTCATGTGCTTGGAAATTAATTTGATTATAAAATAGATCCAATTCTCTAGATTCAGGAGGCCCTTCTGCTTGCTAGTAAGAACAGGAGGTGTAGGTTGGCTCCGTAGAGGCTGTTCTTAGGAGCCACAGCCAAAGACAGCTGAGGGCACTCTTTAGAAAACTGACGGAAATTCAAGGACTCTGCCTTTTTCTTACCAGGCTATATACAGTGCTCCAGCTCCACTGTAACTACCTCCTGTGATTTTTTTTTTAAGGATCTGTCTTAGGCCATTCCAGTGTATTCTGTTTAGCTTTGATAAATGATGCTTAGCTTCTTGACACAGCTACTTCTTCCTTCCCCTTCAAGAATCAGTTCAAAAGCACCTTAAGGAACCTTTTCCCATGTGTCTCCAGCCTCTAAAAAGAGAACAGAAGCATCCCTGGGCATCTTCTGCTAGCTATTATTCCTATTTTACTAATAAGAACATGAACAATGACCAGGTGGTGGTGGCGCACTCCTTTAATTCCAGCACTGGGGAGACAGAGACAGGTGGATCTCTGTGAGTTCGAGGCCAGTCTGGTCTATAAATCAAGTTCCAGGACAGCTAGAGCTGTTACACAGAGAAACCCTGTCTCAAAAAAATCAAAGGAATATAAACTGTTGTTTTTGCTGACTTCTGCCAGATTCAGTTACCCTATAACTTTAAGTGATTGGTCAAAGGGGAAAAAATAATTCTCTGGATTTTAGAACCAGAACTGAGTTTATTACCTGCGAAATTCTTAGGAAGGATAAGGGATCATAAGACGAGCTTTAGACTTTAAACATTCAGACTCTCTAAACAGTTTTACAGGAGTGAAAGCCCAAATGGCAGAAGACAGGCTCAAGGTGAACAGCTACAGGAGCATCTGGAGCACCAAATTTCCAGAACACACTAAGAGTTGGGATGAGAACTCACCTGCACTGGCCCAATGCTCTTATTCCGGCCTCCAGGCATGCCATCTTCTCTGATAGCTAGAAGGAAACATAAGACAGTCAGAAGCACACTCATGGTCATTTATAAATGAAAAGGAAAGTTATCTGTCCCAGCACTAGGGAGGCAGATTGATCTATGTGCATTTGAGGCCAGCCTGATCTACTACATAATAAGTTCCAGCACATCCAGAGCCACAGAGTGAGACCCTGTCTCAACACACACGCACAAAACCCAACCCCTCCCCCCCAAAAAAACCAAAAACCAAAACCAAAAACAACAAAAAACTTACCTGGCTAAAAGTCTAATGTAGTAAGTGATAAAGACAAGACTAAAACACAAGCTTTTCTGGACTCACAGTCTATTTTATTGCTCTAAGTTGCCTATAAGCAGCAGATACTTTTGGGTTCCCAAGGTATTGGATGTATACTACATATACTGTATATATTCAAGATGTTCAACAAAAATGGGTCATTGTTAACAAGACCCAGTTACAAATATCCCACCAGAAAAGGATATTTCTGAGGGACATTTTAGTGGGGGAGTGAACACCTGTATTTTAAAATAAAATATATTTTATTCTCTGCCTAAGTTTAATTTAAAGGATCAGAACAGCACTACTATCCAGGTAGATGCCCAACTCTGGAGACCATGGCTTTTGACATTTAGTTTTTATTAAATTCAATGTTCACCTCACTAGTTCCTCCTTATAACAGCAGGAAGTTGAAGCTGAAAGAACTTACTTAGAATTTTCTTATTTTATATGTATGAGTATCTCTCCTACATGTGTGTACCCATGTGTGACTGGTATCCATAAGTCTGAAGAGGGCATCAGATGTCAGTAACTAAGAGTTACAGATGGTTGTGATTCACCTTGTGGGTCCTGGGAGCCACCCAGATCCTCTGCAGGAGCAGCAAATGCTCTTAACCACCAAGCCATTTATCCAACCCCAAAATGATACTTAGGTTGTCATTGTTTATTTAAAATTTTTAAATTTATCTTCATGTATATGGGTATTTTGTCTGCATGTATGTCTGTGCGCTATGTGTACCTGATGCCTAGGGAGGCCAGCAGAGGGTGCTGGATATCCTGTAACCAGATTCAGAAAGCTGTATATTGTCAAACCAGAATTCAACTCTGCACTTAGAAATCATGTTTCTATTGTTTTCTCCAATTTGTAACAACTCTTTGACACTGTCCAGTAGGATGTTACATTGTAGCTTCCTACAATGTTAGTTATTTTGAAAAATCATCTTTCAACTGGAGGTGGTGGTGCACGCCTTTAATCCCAGCACAATGGAGGCAGAGGCAGGCTGATGCCTATGAATTCTAGGCCAGCCTGGTCTACAGAGCTAGTGTCTTTTTTTTGTTTGTTTGTTTTTTTCTGGTTTTTTAGAGACAGGGTTTCTCTGTGTAGCTTTAGAGCCTGTCCTGGAACTCACTCTGTAGACCAGGCTGGCCTTGAACTCACAGAGATCTGCCTGGCTCTGCCTCCAGAGTACTGGGATTAAAGGTGTGGGGGAGGGGGGGCCGCGGCCCAGAGCTACACAGAGAAACCCTGCTGGAAAAATAAAAAACAGAGAATTTTTAAAAAATTAAAAGAAAAAATACTTCAATATGGGCTCCTAAGTTTTCTCGTGAGTATTCTGATAATGAAGTTCAAGCTCATTCTTTCTCTCCTCTCCCCGACCCCCACCTTGGTGTCTGTCTGTTTGTCTCTCTCTTGGCCTCTTGGAATCTGTCTATCTCTCCCTAGATTCTCACCTCTGTGTGTGCCTGAGCTTTTCTCAGTATTATCTTACCAGGGTAAATCATGCTGGCATGTTTACTGGTGATACTAACTATGTTGGATAGTTTTACTTGACACAAGGTAAAGTCACAAGCTAAGAGTCACCCAGGTGTGACTGGTTTTGAAGGCATGAAGGAGTCATGGAGAACAGCTGAGGTTTGGCAATGTGAGAGGCCAGGAGAGGGCCATTGGTAAGGTTCAGCCTCAGTAGCACTTGAAGGCTCAGGAATGAATGAGTCATGCAGAGTTGAGGTTTGGCACCATGGAGAGGTTACTGGTGAAAGTGCAGCCCACTTGCAGCAGAAGATCCTAGCATTTTAGACCCCAGCACCCTGAGATGACACCAAGAACAGCAGTAGCAGTGGAGTGCAGCCTGCCCAAGCTTAGAAGACAAGCTGTGCATGCTGCAGAGGACAGAGCTGGAGAAGAGACCCACGCCCTTTGGAAGAGCCCAGAAGATCACAAGTGGATCCCAGACATTAGACATTGTGCTATTTACACTCTTGGGGAGTTTGGTTTTGCTTTGATCTTATTGTGACTATGCCTTGGTTCTTTCCTCTTGAAGTAAGAAAATATTTAACTTAATTTTGATTTTTATAGGTGGAACTTTTAAAAGAGATGTTGGATTTTTAGAGACTGGATATTTTAGAGAGACTGAACTTTAATATTTTTCAAACTGTCAAGACTGTGGGACTTTTAAAGTTATTTATGTTTTTTGTTTTGTTTTTCAAGACAGAGTTTCTTTGTGTAGCCCTGGTTGTCCTGGAACTAGTTCTGTAGACTGACCTCAAACAGAGATCCTCCTGCCTCTGCCTCCCTCCTTAACAAGGAGTCCTACTGGGTCTTGTGGTGCTATTTATGTTTTTAATGTGAGAACTTGGGGAAGAATGAGAAAGGAAAAGTGTATTTGTGTTTCAAGTTGACAACAGGTCAGTTATGCTGGATAGACTTATGTCAACTTTACACAAGCTAAAGTCATATGGAAGGAGAGAATCTCAATCGAAAATATGCCTCCATAGGATCAGGCTGTAGGCAAACCTGTAGTGTATTTTTTAAAAATAGTGATTGAGGGGGCAGAGCCCAGCTATGTGGATGGTGCCACCCCCAGCTGATGGGCCTGGGTTCTATAATAAAGTAGGCTGAGCAGCCGGCAAGCAGCACTCCTCCATGGCCTCTGCATCAGCTCCTGCCTCCAGGATCCTGCACCAACTTCCTTCAATGATAAGCAGTGACAAAGAAGTGTAAGCCAAATAAACCCTTTCCTCCCCAACTTACCTTTTAGTCATGATGTTTCACTATAGCAATAGAAACCCTGAGACACTAACTAAGACACTAACTAACCTTCATCACATTCTAGCTGTGGAAACAATTTCCCCTTTATAGTTATTGTTTTTAAACTTCACTTTTTATTTTTTATTTTTATTTATCTATTTTTTTTTTTTTTTTGAGCTGAGGATCGAACCCCCAGGGCCTTGCGCTTGCTAGGCAAGCACTCTACCACTGAGCTAAATCCCCAACCCTAAACTTTACTTTTGTTTAAACCACTGCTCACTTCTGTTGGACTCACTTCAGTGGATCTTGGCTTTGTCAGTACTGTGGTGTTGTGTATCTAACAGCAACTTGTATTTCCATCATGTCTCCTCCACTTACTCACTGGAATTCTTTCATAAGGAAAAAATGGTTACTTTTGTTTATTCAGTTAGTTATTTCTATCAGTATAAGCATGTACAGACTTATTTCTGAGCCTATAAACAAATCTAAAGATATTCTGTTACCAAGTTAGAACAACTGTGGTTACTGGGAGCTCTCAGGTTGAGTTTTGTGCCCTTTCAGTGTGCCCTGTGTGCCCATTCACACATGTGCTTGCTCTTATTTATTTTACTATGTGTATGTGGGTGCCTGTGGAGGTCAGAAAAGGGCCTGGGATCTCCCAGAGATGGAGTTAAAGGTGATTGTGAGCTACCGGGCATGGGTGCTGGGATCCAGACTCTGATCCTCTGCAGTAGGTAAATGCTCTTAATCATTAAGTCATTTCCTCAGGTTCCCCACCCCATCATCTCTCTTATTTTCAAGTACTCTAAAACTCTCCATGCTTATGAATTCAACTAGTTCTCCATGGAGACTTTACTCTTTTTATTGACACTTAAAACAATTTCTGGGTGCTGAGTGTGTCTAGTCTCATGTAGTCATTAGAGTTTAGAAACACATGTATGTGTTTAGAAAGAAACACATGTAAGTCACATACATTCCACACATTATGTATCTATTGTCCATCCACCAGACATACCGATATATCTGACTCTGATATTCCTTCTAGCCTTCTGGATTGATAACTTCTTTCTCAAATATAGTGTATTTATTTTATTTCCCTGTTCAACCACAGTATTCAATTAAAGTAGAGACAAAATTCCTAACATATAACCTTGAGAGAAACAATTTTATAAATCAAAGTGCTTTGTTTATATACAACTGCTTTTTTTCCTTTCCCTTATAATATGGAGTCAAAACACTGTTTTCCAAGGCCAGCTCTCTTCCTCTCTACCATCTCAGTGTGGTTATGTGATTCATTTTAATACCGCTAGATGAATTCATCACCTTGTTGACTCCATCTCTCCACCCCCTTCCTCCACATCAATACATTTGGCTTGACTAGCTTTTTATATCCAGTAAAATCCACTTTTTGTAATGTACAGTTCAAAGGCTTTTGACAAATAAATAAAATTATACATTACTAGCCATGAAAGTTTCAGAGTATTTCTCACTTCCAAAAATATTCTCATGGCAAGTCTAATTTAGTCCTGCTTTCTCAAGACCAACCAGAAGGTGGCAGGGTTTCCCTCAGCAGCCTTCAATAGGCTAATAGGGAAGCAAAACTGGCAACATTCTCTCTGTCCCACATGTCACAGTCTCGGGGCTGTAGCATAGAGCTTCCAGAGGAGTTATAAAGTATGGTTCTTCTTCCCCAAAACAGATGAGTTTAGCTGGAAGCTCAGAATCCCACATGCCAATGAATACCAGGATAATCAATCTGTGTATGTAGTCAAGAAGGAATCCCGTAATAGTGAGGCTTGAGGTATTGAGCACTCACAGGCCCTGGGCAATGAAGGAAGATGAGAAAAGTGGAATAAAAGCCAAAATCAGGGTGAGGGTAGAAAGACAGTACTGGTCTGAAATTAGTAACTGGTAAGGGTTTCTGCAGAGACAAGTAATACTGGGGAAGAGAATATACTTCCAGGTAGAAAAACAAACTTGAGCTCATGTGGAATGGCATAACATCTGGCCCTGAGACCCTGCTCTGGCCAGAGAGGCTACAAAGATAGGCAGCGGACAAACTTGACAACACTTCAAATGCCCTACCATAGCATTTGTTTAACATGCAGCAAACACATGGTATTCTAATATGCAAATAGCTATGCCACAAAGGAGATTTGTGGAACAGTATACTGATTCTGTGATTAGGCACAGCTCTGATTAATAACACATTATAACTTCAATGTGTTTTGTTTTGTTTGTTTGTTTTTTCCTATGATAGGGTTTCTCTGTACAATAGTCCCGACTGTCCTGGAATTCGCTCTGTAGACCAGGCTGGCCTTGAACTCACTGAGATCCACCTGCTTCTGCCTCCCAAATGCTGGAACTAAAGACATGCACCATCACTACCTGGTTTGTTGGGTTGTTTACAATGTCTCTGTATGTGTTGATTATTAATATCCTGTTCTATATGCTATGAGTGTTTTCCCATTCTGTTAGGTTTCATTTTATAATATAAAACTTGTATGGATTTCTCCATATCAATCTGTCATTTCCTTTTATTTTTAGTATTTTTGTATTATATTTATTTATTTGTGTTGGGGAGTGGGGGGACACATGCCCAGGTGCTTGTGTGGAGTCTGTCCTCTCCTTCCACCATGTGAGCCTGGGAAGCAAACTCGGGTCATCAGGTGTGGTATCGAGAGTCTTAATCTTACAAGCTTGATTTTCTTATTGTTTTGAGACAAAGTCTGATTATGAGACTCTGACTGGCCTGGAACTCACAGAGATCTGCAGCCTCTGCCTCCTGACTGCTGATATTGAAGACACAGCCCTCCACATCCTATTAGTTGTTGTTGTCCTTTTTTTTATTTTTTAGATTTATTTGTTTTATATGTATGAATGTTTTGCCTGCATGCATGTATGTGCTTTACATCCATGCCTGGTGCTTTCCGAAGTCAGAAGAAGGCATCAAATCCTGGGACTGGAGTTACAGGTGGTTGTGAGCTGCCATGTGCATGCTGGGAATTAAACTCAGATCCTCTGCAAGAGCAGCAAGTGCTGTTTGGGCCCATTTGTTAGGTTTTGAGGTTTTTTTGTTCATTTGTTTTTTTTGAGACAGGGTCTCTCTGTGTAGCCCTGGCTGTCCTGGAATTTGCTGTGTAGACCAGGCTGATCTCTCAGAGATCCCCCTGCCTTTGAATCTGCTGGGATTAAAAGCATGTCCCACACTCAGCTCACATGTTTGGTTTTTTATCATCATTTATAACTCCTTAAAAATAAATAATTAGAGGATAGAGAGATGTATGGGCACTGGCTGATCTTGCAGAGGATCTGGGTTCAATTCTAGGTTTGATTCCCAGTACCCACATGGTAGCTCACAAATGTCTCTAACTCCAGTTCCACAGGATCTGATGCCTTTTCTGAATTCCATGGGTTTCTATGTGTACAAGAACAGTACCTGTTCTCTCCAGGCCCCTTCTGGGCATTTCTAAAAACTTCCTAGTTGGCTTCTTCTACCAAACCCTTCAAAGCTCCGTAGATTCAGTTTATTTATGTCATCTTAGGTTAACAGCTCCCAGAAAACTTCATAATAAATGTCAAGCTCTTTACCTACCTAGACAAACTTCTAAATATTCCTAGTGTCTGAGTGTGCCATGTTTCTAGTACACAAAACAACATCAAGTCCTACTTCATACCTTTCCAATTAAATTCCTGTCATTATTCCTTGAAAAAGTTTATACACTATATAGTGTATATGGAAAGAATAACCAAAAAGTATAATAGTTGCAAATGAGGGGATAGATAGGGTAGCAGAGAGAGTCCTAAGCACCAACTCACCCTTCCTGTTCATGCCCATCTGGAGACACTTGAGCAGGCGGCAGTACTGGCACCTGTTCCTCTGTTTCCGGGACATGACACAGTTCTTGTCACGACTGCACCGGTACACACGTTTGTTGCAAATACTCCTCTTGAAAAAACCTTTGCAGCCCTCACAGGAGATGATCCCATAGTGTAAGCCTGTAGCACGATCCCCACAGATTAGACAGGTTCGTTGTTCAGCTCGATCATCTGGAACAGAAACTGAACATGTACAAGTTAGAGTGCTGAGTAAACAATAGGGTTAAGCTCACAGCCTTAACCTCCTAAAACCTAAAGTTCCTAAAACCTCCAGCCCTGCTCTGAGTAAATAAAAAATACCACTAACTCCAGGGTACTGACAAGTCCCTAAAGTGTCATCTCCAACCTCATATAACTGTTAGCTTTTGGGAAAGAGTTGCTTTTCTAACTCAATGCTAACAATGTTCTTTTTGTTTTGTTTCAAGCTAATGTTTCTCTGTGTAGCCCTGGCTGTCCTAGAATTTGCTCTGTAGGCTAGGTTGGCCTCAAACTCACAGAGATCCATCTGCATCTGACTCCCAAGTGCTGGGATTAAAGGTGTGCATCACCACTGCCTCACTTGTGTTCTTAATCTATTAACACGATGTTCTTCCTCTGTATTATTCCTAAAACACAGTGTGAAGAAAATGGGCAAACAAGCACTTTAAAGTCAAGACCAAAGTTCATAGCAGATGTCGCTGAGGAAGAGCTGAGGTCCTAATGGTAACAGGCATCTGAAACCCTGAATGAGTATGTTAGCTACAAAAATATTAGTGGGTAAAATTGTCTGGGAAAAGAAAATATTCCAACTTATCAGAGAAACTGCATGTTTGTAGGGCTCAGACTTTAAACAGTAACTCATATAAGCAGGACCTGTAATATACTTAAGGGGAATTTGCTGATTCCAAGTAGGGTAGAAAACAAACAAGATGAACTTCATTGTGCTATTCAAACTAATCACAAGGCCCTCTCAAAAGGAAACATGAGACAATATGAAATTCTTTCACAAGTCTAAGATAAAGCAAGCTATGTATCAAAAAGAATACTGAGAACAATGGATAAAGCATTCCAAATACACGGCTAGAGAGATGCCTTAGTAGTCTGATTTACCTGAGTTCAATCTCCAGAATGCATGGTAGATGGATGAACCAACTACCAAATGTTGTTCCTTCACTACCACAAGCACATGACCCTGTCACACACACTTTAGAAAATAAAATTTAAAAAACTCAAATACAAGCCAGGCAGTGGTGGCGCACACCTTTAATATTAGCACATGGGAGTTAGAGGCAGGAGGATCTCTATGAGTTCAAGGTCAGCCTGGTCTACAGAGCGAGTACCAGGAGAGCTACGGCTACATAGAGAAACCCTGTCTCAAAAAAATTTTTTTTCTAAATATAAAAACTAGTATACTCGGGCTGGACAGATGGCTTAGAGGTTAAGAGCACCGACTGCTCTTCCAGAGGTCCTGAGTTCAATTCCCAGCAACCACATGGTGGCTCACAACCATCTGTAATGAGATCTGGCGCCCTCTTCTGTATACATAATAAATAAATAAATCTTAAAAAAAAAAAAAAACTAGTATACTCAAGATTAAAAATGAAAAGCCTCATTAGTTATCACTGAAGGTTGCCAGGACCTAAATTCGATATTTAAAACATAGATGAAATAAAGGAAATGGGGAGCAGGATCAAGCATTTAAAAAATTACTAGAATCGTCACTTTATTCCATGTCCCAACAGTAAGAGAAGGGAGCAAGAATGGAAAAACAGTCCAGAAATTCTAAACTATTGAACTTCAAGCTTAGTAGAGAATTACTAGGATTTGGTGAACACTAGATATACATGGCATGATGGGGAAACAACTCATCTGAGCGCCTACAGCATAGGCAGAGACAAGGGAAGGGGGAAAACACTTGCCTTACAAAGCTTTAGAACAGAGCCAAAACAAATGAGAACAAGATGTTAGACCTCTGGGTTCAAAACTAGGCTCTGGTATTTGCTAGCTCTTTCCTGTGAAAGGAACTGGCAAATTCTGAAGTGTAAGTAGCTGTCAGCAAGACAAGTGAAGGTGGAGAAGGTAGAGCCATAAAGGGTCACACCTTAAATGTGTTACTAGACAGCCCTCTTCAACTGGGGTTTACTGAGAAGAGTCATGTTCCTTTTTAAAGTACCCAAATAATTCACCAAGTCCACCAAACTATCAAGAAGACGATAGGAAACTATGTGGAGATACAATAAGGTTATGTTACCCTGATATGGAAAAGTCATGATCTGACCATACCCTTATTCTGCAAATTGTTTTGGTTTTTGATGCAAGAGGTCATTTAGCTGAGACTGGTTTTGAACTCCTGAATCTTTTGTCTCCATACTTAGTGTTGCAATTTTAAGTGTGCCACCATGTCTAGCTGTTTCCTAAATGTTGCTGGTTACTTATGGTAGCCAGCAATAAGTAAAACATTAGTCCCATAGTTACATGCAGCACGCAAGAGAGGGCATAGACAGCTCAGAGCTTTAGAGGTAGCAGCCATGCTAAAGAATGACTGGCGGTGGTGAAAAGAAAGCTTAAGACTTTAAGTAAATGTAACAAAACCACACATTTCTGGAAAAAATCCTACATGTGGCCTTTATACATGTAGCCATTAGTACAGTCTTGTAAACCTTAGAAACAATCTTAAGAACTTTTCTGTAGTCAGAAATTACTCTACTGTGAACAACAAATACTGTTACATTGAATGTGGCTTCCTCAAACTCCTATTAAAGACAGTTAAGAACAGATCCAGCCAGGCGGTGGTGGCACACACCTTTAATCCCAGCACTTGGGAGGCAGAGCCAGGCGGATCTCTGTGAGTTCGAGGCCAGCCTGGTCTACAGAGCGAGATCCAGGACAGGCACCAAAACTACAGAGAGAAACCTTGTGTTGAAGAAAAATAAAATAAAATAAAAGAAGCTGTATGTGAATTATTAAAAAAAACAAAAAACAAAAAACAAAAAACAGATCCAGAGCTCAGTCAATGTTTCCATGGACACACATTAATACATGGATGCAGAAAAGTCAAATTCAAATGAAACATTAAAAATGCTAAAACAGGGCTGGAGAGATGGCTCAGAGGTTAAGAGCACTGACTGCTCTTCCGGAGGTCCTGAGTTCAATTCCCAGCAACCACATGGTGACTCACAACCATCTGTAGTGAGATCTGGTGCCCTCTTCTGGCCTGCAGACATGCATACATGCAGGCAGAACATTGTATGCATAATAAATAAATAAACCTTAAAAAAAAATGCTAAAACAGCTGAGGAAATTGGCTGGAGGGCTGTACCCAGCCACATTGTTTCAGAGCACACCTAACACGCACCTGCTTTGAGAGATACGTGTATTCATCTTCATGTCACTTAGGAGGAACAAAAAGGCAAGTGAGAACAAGGAGATTTAAAAGCAGGTGTGGTCATTAATCTGACTAGAATTATACAAAATTTTATCTTGTTTCATAAAAGTGGCAGGACCTTTCAGTTACATCACATCTAACCAAAGTTACTTTGAAGACAAATTTCAGAGAATTAACAGTAATATCTGGCACAACGTCTCGTCTACCACGGAAAAGGTATATTTTTATTTTTAGTTCTGAAATTTGAATATAGGACCTCTCTTTCTTATTTGTTTGTTTGCTAAATTAGACAGGCAAGACTTGGATATGTAATCCTCTAGCATTAACCTCCCAAGTAGTTAAGATAAAATAATATACTACACCACCTGGTCTAGCTTGTATTCTTTTGAATAAACGTCTAAGTAGGAAAGCAGTATGACTTAGTGAAGTGCTTTCAAAATTACAAGTTACAACACAAAGCATTGGAACTTTTTTGAAAAAAAGAAAATATCAGGTGAAAAATGATGAAAAAGAAACCCAACATTGACTTCTTCCCCTATCCCCCCCGTTTCTTTCAAGACAGGGTTTCTCTTTGTAGCTCTGGTTGTCCTGGAACTTACTCTGTAGACCACAATGGCCTTGAGCTCAGAGATCCACTTATGTCTGCCTCCTAAGTGCTGGGATTAAAGGCAAGTGCCACCAACACCTGGATTCCAACACTGACTTCTGACCTTCACATACACATGTACACACACAGACATATACACATACTACAAACAAGTATACACACATATACCACATACACACACATATGCAAAATAGAATGTGTCACTAGTAGTAAGTGTAAAATATCATTAAATGTTTCAATTAAAGCATGCACATTTGTTTATATGCATACTGTTTGTGTGTACACTGTTTGTGTATGCATAAGTAGGAGGCTACTACATCCCAATGAGCAATGTATCAAGTTTTAAAATAGTTCAAATTATACCTGATGTTTAAGAGTGAAGCTGGAGTCAGGCATGGTGGTACATGCCTTTAATCCCAGCACTTAGCAAGTGGAGATAGGTGGATTTTTGTGATTTCAAGGCCCACCTGGCCTATATGGGGAGTTCCAGGCCAACTAGGGCTATGTGTAGAGACTCTTAAAACAAACAAACTAAAATACTGGAGCTGGGTATAATGGTACATACCTATAATCCTGGTAGGTAACAGAAGTGTCTTGAGTATGACATCAGCCTGGACTACTTGAGAGTGCTTGTCTCAAAAACAAAATACAGCCGGGCGGCGGCGGCAGCGCACCCCTTTAATCCCAGCCCTCGGGAGGCAGAGCCAGGCGGATCTCTGTGAGTTTGAGGCCAGCCTGGTCTCCAAATCAAGTTCCAGGAAAGGCGCAAAGCTACACAGAGAAAGCCTGTCTCAAAAAACCAAAAAAAAAAAAAAACAAAACCAAAAAAACCCCCCCAAAAAAACAAACAAACAAAAACAAAAAAACAAAATACAACATACAGACACAGACACAGAGACACACACACACAGACACACACACACACAATTTCCAACATGCTTCTTCCTAGCTTTGGAACCATGGGAAAATGACTGACTTCTCTGAATCTTGCTCACTATAAAACTCTTATGCAACAACATAGGGGACTTGTAAAAATATTTGGCCAAGGGGTTGGAGATATGGCTCAGGGGTTAAGAGCACGATCTGCTCTTCCAGAGGACCCAGGTTTAATTGCCAGCACCCACATGGTGGTTCACAACTATCTGTATCTCTAGTTCCAGGGATTGAAAGTCCTTTTCTGGCCTCCTTAGGCATCAGGCATGCACATGGAAC